AATATACGCACCTTTAAGATCCATAAAGTATTTTAGCATTTGATTATTGCTCTTGCCACTAAACAATATTTTACCAGTATATAGCTCATATATAGTACAACCAGCTGACCACATATCTATGCCGTAGTCATACGGTATGCCCAATATTATTTCGGGCGCACGATAGAAACGCGAAACCAGATAGGGTGTGATATCATTATCATTTATAGTTGATGCCGATCCAAAATCACAAAGTTTCAGAATTAAATTGTTTTCGTTCACTAATATATTATCCGGTTTAATATCGGCATGTAGTATTCCAGTTTTTTTAAGTAGTTTAAGTGCAAGGAACAATTGCTGAGTATAACTACGAACTGCCTTTATATGCAGTCCCACATTTTTACCATATTTTTTCAAGACCTCCCGTAGATTCATAGCAAGTGGTTCAAAAACCATACAGAGATGCTGCGTTATATAAAATTTATTATTAGAATAGTTACGAGTTCACGCGTTTTTGGTTTTATGTGTATTATTAAAAGCTTCTGTGAATCTGAAATTTCAAACCGTCAGCGATATTTATACAGATAATAACTATATAAAATAAAACAAACTAACTTAAAACTTTTTTTTATTCAGATTTACAAGAGCCTTTAATAACACAATAACACAAATTCACTAGTTTATTATAATGTTTATTGTAATAGGAAAATATTACCTGCTTATGAAAAAAATGCCTGTACAAGCGTAAGCAGTGGAAGCGATCTTCTGGATCTGCATCGTTTAGTTTTTTTAGTATCTCCAATTCTCGTAAACCCGTTTTATGCCTTATTTTTAAAAACGAAATCATGTAAGTTACATTTTGTTATTAATGATAAATTTATAATATTTAAAATAAATAGTAAAATAAATCTAAATAGATCATTGGAAATTTTGTATTCAGAGATGAATGTTATTCTTTAGTGTTTTCTCTTTTGCAATGATTGGTTGAAAAACAAAAGATTAAATGAATTTTGTTGATAAACAGAAAAATACACTAGTGGTATTCACGATCACAAGTAACGAGTTCAATACTTACTAAAATGGTAACAATATAAAGAGCAGCAGTTATAAAATTCATTCACTCCAAAAGTGTTTTGGTCTTGCCGCTTTGCATTCTTACTAATGTTACTCAGTCATCGAGCTTGTTTCTCGATCATCGCGCTCATTACTCGGTCATCGAATTCGTTATTCGGTCATCGAGTTTTTTACTATGTCATCGAGCTAGTTACTCGTTCATCAAGCTTGTTACTCGGTCATCGAGCTTGCTACTCGGCCATCGATCTTGTTACTCGGTCATAGAGCTCATTAGTCGATCATCGAGTTATTTACTCGGTCATCGAGCTCGTTACTCGGTCATCGAGCTTGTTACTATGTCACCGAGTAGTCGGTCACCGAGTTTTTTTATTAGGCTATCGATTTCCTTATTCGGTCATCGAGCGTGTTACTTGATCATTGAGCTTGTAACTCAGGCATCGAGCTCGTTAACGGTTATCGAACTCGTTATGCTTTTTCGTAAGTACCACTTATAATATATTTTTTACAGTTTTAACACAAAAATAACAAAATCTTGCTTTCCCAGTAATTTATAATGTTAAGTAAAAACAAATTTGTATATCTTTCAAGATCCCTTTTGATTAGTATTAATATATATAGAGATATACTTACATTATTTCATTATTGCGTATGATTTTAACAGCAACATTAGCATTTCCACGTGCCTGGTCACGTGCTCTTACAACATTACTAAATACACCTTGACCTGTGTAGCCAGAAACTGTGTAACGATTATCTAATGTTTCGCCAATACGCACGCGATAGTATCCTTCTGCATCGTCCCAATTATCAGTAAGTGCCGGGTTTTCAATTTGGTTTTTGTTATGAACAATTGTATTTGGTGACTTGAAAATAAAAACATTAAAATTGTAAGCATATTTCTTTTTTTATATATATGTCTATTCATTTGCGATAGTTACAAACACAAAACTCACATCGAACTTTGAATCTACATCTTGGTCTGCAAACATATCCCACTCTGGTCGTTTTTCTTTACCACTATTTTTAGTTTGTTGCTTTTTTCCCTCACCTGTTGCGGACTCATTGTTACCTTCAGTAGACTCTATTATCTTATCTGTTGTGTTCTCTAGATTTGTAGATTTATTTTCGCTTTTCGTTACTATAGGGAGCGGCTTAACATCCTTCTTTTCATTTGGTTCAGCTTTTGTTACGTCTTCAGTATCGCTATTAGATTTTAATTTCTATCAAAATAAATACATATGATTAGAAAATGTTATGTTAAATTTTGATTTATATACTTTTAAAAGCTCCTCTCGTTGTTTACGCCGCATCTCAATAATTTTTTCTTCATCGTCATCTTCGTCATTTATATCTATATCTAAATTCAGTTCGCCGTCGCTACTCGATTCATTCATTTTTTGGTTTTGACCTTCACTAAGAGAATCACGATATTTATCTGGACGAACACGAGGACGATCACGATCACTACGCCTTTCTTCTCTCTCTCGTTGTAAGCGATCACGTTCATTGCGTCGACGATCTGATTCTTCTTTACTACGACTATGTGAACGTTCACGATTCCAACGATCTCTATCACGACCTCTTTCTCTGTCTCTACCCCTATCTCTATCACGTTCCCGATCACGTCCTCTGACAGAACTATCATCATAACGTGACCTATTTTCTCTTGCTTTGCGTTCACGCTCCCTGCTGTTTCTTTCACGTTCCTTATCACGATTAATTTCCTGACGTAAATCTTCTTTATGTCTATTTTGATCAATAAGTTCACGACGCTGAAGACTTCGACTACTTTCTCGTTGATTTTTATATGTATCTAATTCCCGCCGTGGTGTTCGGCTTCGTGTACGTCTTCGCTGTTTATGGTATTCATTTTCATACTCTTTGCGAGCTGATGACCGTTTTGGTGAACTTATACGTTGGTCTTTCTTTGTATCATTACTGCTAACACGAGGTTTGCGTTGCCTTTCCGGTGTATTATGACCACTAGAATCATCCAATAATATTACAACTGGTTCAGTAGAATTTGATTTAGAAATTTTATTATTATTTTTACTAATATGTGAAGTTGAAGGGCTGGAAGTCTTTTCCTTGGCTCCTACTGCCACAGTTATGTCAAAATTTTGCTGTGCACTGTCTTGCTGTTTCTCAATTAAATTTGTATGTTTATCCTCACCCTCGGATTCTGACATGTAAGCACCTAAGCGCGCTTGTAGTAAGGCTTTCTGTTTCATCAGGTCTTCTAAGTTAAGATCGTCTTCAATTATTGCCACTTCGGGACTAACATCATCATTTGGACTTTATTCATTAAAAAGAAATTACGTAAAATTATGAAACTAAAATATTTATATATACGAGTAACACATTTTAATCTACTTACACTTCGCTATCACTACCCGAACTTCCAACTTCCATTACAGGCAAGACTTTGGTTTGTATGGTTCTAGTAATTTCTTCAACTAAACTACTGGGATCTGTTTGCATATTAGGTCTTGTTATACTAAATTTATTACCATTGGCGTGTTGTTCAACACGTAGAAAACTTGTCGTATCCTTGCTGGCTTTTTGCATTATTTCCGCAAATTTTTCATTTAAAGTGGCTGGTGTACGCTTAGTAGTGGAAACTTCAGATGCCATATCTGAAGATTCACTTTGTCTACGTCTTTTTTTATATTTCTTGTGACTCTTATGAAATTTTTCAGTTTTGTTAGATTTCTTCTGCTTTTTATGTTTTTTCGATTTTTTGTGTGATCCGGACAGACGTTTGGAACGTTTTTCGCTATCAGTGCACGCACTTAAGTCGTCGCTATTAACAGAAAAACAAACTATTAAACTTCTTTTTCATAACCTCAATTTCTTACTTACCTATTTTCATCACTTGACATCTCAAACTATATAATAATAAATTATTTCTGATTAGTCTTATTTGAACTAATATGAGCGCACGAAATTGAATTTCTTATTGTTTGAAATAGATTCTTTTTTTTAAATATGAATTAATAGAATGCAAAACTAGTATATAACCAATAGTGCCCAATAAATAAGGAACAAAAGCAAATGGTTTGACATTGACATTTAAATGTTTTTTGTTTTATGCTAGATGGCACTGCCAGCGTTTCGATTAATTATCGAAGTAATTGCATTGATGAATCGGTTAACTTTTCATAATTTATATAAATTGATCAAAAAATAATATGAGTCAGTAATTTTTGCATAAAAGAACTTTGTTTTTAAACTGAATTTTAGTTTTAAATGTTCGTGAATAGAAAATTAATCGAAGATATTAAAATTCTTTGAAATTTGCTGTTCAATACCCATCAGTGCCATAATTTCTTTTTAATTAAAGTTAAATTTCTTAAAGTATACAATAAATTAATTAACAACAACCATCATCATAAAAATCATTTTCTAGTGTGCTTTTGTTTACAATTTCAAATTTGTTTGGATTCGCGGCTTCATTTTTTCTCATAAGAATGTTTGAAGACATCCATCACTAAATGAATGCCTTTAAAAAATAAATACACCTTTATCTCATAGGGCTTGCAAAGATTTCGTGAGGATATTATACGGTAAACGCTATGCAAATATTAAAATAAAAGTGAATTTGGGTTTAATGCGACAGTATAAACATAGTGTAGACTTGTACTATGAATATTAAGTCTAGTACTGCATTAAAACGAGTTAATTCAATTTATATAAATGCCATAACATAAATCTGTTTTCAATGTTTTAATATACATATTTTGTCATCACACTCAGAATC